TGTCCAGTGTGAAACACATACAGACACAGGGAGAATGTGCAAACTCCACACAGTCACCCAAGGCTGGAGTCGAACCCAGGTCCCTGACTCAGTGAGGCAACAGTGCTAACTAGATGTTTCTGCTTTTATTGTACAAATATAAAGCTGGTGACTCTCACCCAGCAACCAATCAGGAAGCTGATACTGTGCTGAGTAAACCTGAACACAGAACTGGTTCTGGTTGAAAAATCAATCAGAAGTGTGTCACTGGGCAAAACCATCCAGTCCCTAACCCTAACCCAAACCATAACCCCAGGGAACTGAGGTGTCCATCCTTTCCCCCACCGCAGGAATAAGGGAACCTTATAGGTACAGCATACAATGAGGCAGAGTAACTTTTTCTTTAAAAAACATTTTCGTTGACAGGCCCCTTGGTTTGAAGGAGAATATAATATTCCGCTTTTAAGCCCACTATCCAAAAAATATAACTGATCTTTACATTTGTTAAAAACTGGGGCCTGATCCTTGTGGTACCCTGCTGATCACCCATTTCTTCCAATTCCCCATGTTTTCTGACCATTAACCAGTGTTCAATCTATGCCTATATGTTTGCCCCAATCCCATGTGCTCTAACACTGTTCGCTTATGTCCCCTTACCAAATGCTGTCTCAAGCATGTATCACATCCACTGGGCTCCTCATCTGTTCTACCATAACGTACTCAAAAAACCTTTATCAGGTTTGCCAAACATGATTTCCGTTTCATGAATCCATACTGATTCTGCCAAATTCTACCATTTGTTATCGCACATCTCACTGTGTACATGTCTATCAGTCTGTGTGTTTCTTCATCTCTTGAAGCTTCCCATTGCCAGGAAGTCTGATTTTGTGCAGAAATGCATCCACAGGGTGCAAAAGAATCGAAGCACCTTGAGCAATGCATAACACAAATGTGACCGTGATTATCGTTTGTAATGAATCAGTGCTGAGTGACATTGCTTGAAGGAATTGTTTTTCCATCTCAGTTTATGCGTTCTTCCTATTATGCCCAAACAGTCAGTTTCCATCTGTGAAACTAAACGGCAAAGCTTTGATTTTCTTGTCACCCAATTCTAACTCAGATTGTACCTGTTTTATAAGCTGCAGTTATTTAAACAGATTATTTGCTAATTACCATATTGCTGTTTGCTGGATCTTGCTTTGCAGATATTGATTGACGTGTTTCCTACCTTCCAGCAGTGACTGTACTTCACATCTTTTTCACTGGTCCTAAAGCACTTTGGGACATTCTGAAGTTGCTAAAGGTGCTACGTAAATGCAGGCTATTTTTTTTTGATGAAATTCATTGCAAACTGCTGGTGATGTGCAATATTTCACAGAGACTTAAAATGCAGCCACCAAGATGGCAGACTTTGTTAGCAGATAGAATTTACAGTGGATAGATCAAGCAAACAGAGATATCACATTTATATTACTTCCTTTATTATCTTGTGCCCTTTTATTTACGATCAAGTCAATGTGCCTCACCATCTGCAGTACATATATCAGCTATATGAAATCACGTTAAAATGAAAAGAATTATGAGCGTGTCAGGCCAGTTTAACCTATTTCCAATTACCAAAATCAAAATTCTTTGTCTAAAACATTGCAGAGGAATGGAATTCATTTTCTGTTACATTGTCTTCGTTCCTTGCCTTGAGTTCTTGTCTCGTACAACGCTGCCCTCTTTTCCTCTGGGCTTTAGTTTTATTGCACTCACCGTAGATACCATCTCGTCTCATTCCCACCAGGCGGTGAATACTCATAGACGAGTCACAGGGAGCAGAGGTCAAACTGCCCTGAATCAAGTCGGACTCCACTGAGAAATAGAAGAACTCACTGGTCTATCCTCAGCTTTCTTCACCCACCATTGTTGGTCGCACCTTCAGCTGCCTAGCACCCTAAGCTGTGGATAAGAGTCCAATCATTTTAAAGCTGATATCAATAGATTTTTGCTCAGCCAGGGCATGAAGGGATATGAAGCTATGAGAGATTCTTGAGATGTCAGGACCACACTGAGTGGGAGAACAGATTTGAGGGGCTGAATGACCCACTTCTGTTCCAATAAGAGGGCTAGTTGTTCTGGACTGATGAATTAACGTGGCCAAAATTGGCCTTTCTGATCATTAATTATCTGAGGACGTTCTGATCTGAACATAGCATCTTACCTCAATCTAGATCGTTTTATGAGACAGGAGTGAAATGTTAATGAGATAACAAATGTACCATCAAAGGCCACAAACAGTGTTTTAAATACCTTTCTTGCTTGAATTTAACTGCACTGTTCAACCCCTCCCTGCGAAAATTTGAGTGCACAGGTTTGGGGTTAACCAGGGATCTAAAATTAGAGCAGAGAGGAAGCAAAAACCAGTATCAGCTGCTTGGTCTTTCTGTTTTCATTTTCATCCTTCTCTGCCTCATCTTTTGTCTTGTTGGTTTGTGTTTTGCAGTCTAATGCAGCACGCTATGCTTACATTTCACCCAGTAACACCCTTCCACTCAGTAACTCAGTCCCCACTGAGTCAGCTCCTCATCAGGAGAATAACCCCACCCATCACATTCAACATTGATGTCCTCCAGCACTGCCACACTGTGGCAGCAGTGTGCACTATCTGTAAGATGCACTGCTGGAGCTCACCAGGCCTCCTCTGACAGCTTCTTCCGAACGAGCAATCTCTGCTAACCAGAAACGAAGGGAGTGGGCGATTGAGAACACCACAACTTCCAAATTGCCCTCCGAGTCATTATATCATCATTGCTTCATCTTCCTTGGGTTAATCCTGAACTCCCTCCTTCACAGCTCTGTGCATGTACCTACATCGCATGTAGCACAGTAGTTCATTTCGCTGGCTCACCACCAACTTCTCCAGACGAATTAGGCCATAAATTCCGGCCTCATCCATCACACCTATTTGAAAGCATTTACTAAAAGCTAACAATCCAGCAAGCACTGATTGTCGATCCCATGCTAGGGCCACTGTCTTGTCATTGGGTTTCAGCTGAGAGTTATGCTCAGTTGTGCACGGCATGCTTTTGAAAGAATATCAAGGCCTTGAGGCAGATGCAGAGAAGATCAAGGAACATGATTCCAAGAATGAGAGCCTTGAGTTATGAGAAAATTACAGAAACAGTTCTGAAGAGGAGTCCTGTTGGGACTTGAAACATTAATTATGTTTCTCTTTCCACAGATGCTGCCAGACCTGTTGTGCATCTCAAATATTTTCACATTTTATTTCATATTTTCAACATATGCAGCACTTTGCTTTTATTATGCTGGAAGGTCTGATTCTCAGATTCTTCTGACAGCTGAGAAGGTTAGAAGGATATTTACAACTCCAAAATCATGAGGGGTTTGATCCAATCGATGGGAAGAAACTTTTTTCACTGTCAGGACGGTCAGTAACCATTAAACCCAGCTTTAAGAGCAGAGAGGAAGAGAAGGACAATGTTTACTCCCAGTGAGTTGCGATGATCTGGAATGTACAGCCTGATTGGGTAGATGAAGCTGTTTCTAACTTTCTGAAGGGAATTGGATCAATTTAGGAAGACAATGGGGAGCTGATTAAGATGTTTTATTGCATCAAGGAGTACTGTCTGAATGCAAATTGTTTCTTGTTGATTAATCTGGAAACATAGGAGCAGAAGTAGGCCATTCGACCCCTCATTGTTATCGTGGCTGATCATCGAGCTCAATACCCTAATGCACCACCCACCCCAATCCTGTCCCTTGATCCCTTTAGCCACAGAGCTATATCTCCTTCCTTCTTACAAACATGTCATGTTTCAACCTCAACCACTTTCTTTGGTAGTGAATTCTACAGACTCAAAATTCTCTGGGCGAAGACATTTCTCCTCATCTCAGTCCTAAGTGGTTTACCTCTTATCCTAAAACTGTGATGCCTGGTTCTGGACTCCCCCCACCACCGGGAACATCTTTCCTTCATCTAACCTGCCTAGTCCTGTTAGAATTTTATAGATTTCAATGAGATCCCTTCCTCATTCTTCTAAACTCCAGTGAATACAGACCTAACTGACTCGAATCTCATCATATATCAGTCCTGGCATCCCAGGAATCTATTTGGTAAACCTTCGCTAAACTCCTTCTTTTGCAAGAGCATCTTCCTCAGATAAGGAGACTAAAACTACACACAATATTCCAAGAGTGGCCTCACCAGTGCCCTGTATAATTGCAGAAACTTAGTCAATGACAGGCAGCTGAACCTTCTTCTGTGTTATACCATCCTGTGATTCCAAATCTAATGCAGGAAGACAGTGTGAGAGCTTTTGGAGAACAATTACTGAGGGGAGGCTGGACTGTCAAAGGTGTAGTCTCGTTGCTGTGATGTTAGTTGAGACTTTGTCTGCCTTCCATTGTGAACATAAAAGATATCCATGACTGTGGGACCTCTCCCCAGTGTCTCTGCTGGCATTTATTCCCCACCATCAAAAGAAAACATAAAATCTGGCCATTATCACATTACTGTGAGTGTATGCTTGTTTTAAGAAAGTTGGCTGTCGTATCAAAATAATTCATTGGCTGCAAAGCAGTTAGTGGTGTTCTGAGGTTGAGAAAGGTGCTGTATAAATGTAATTCTTTACATTGTTCTAAGTTGGCCATCGCTGTTTAACAAGAGTCTTGAACAGTTAACAGAACTGCTCATGACAATATCTTAGAGAACTCCTCCACTCTGTGGCTTCTGTGAAGCTTGCTGCCCAAGTACCAGAGTTTGATCTCCAGCAATGTCCCAGAGGCAGCCTGAGCACTTGCCCTGCCTGACAATAAGGTCATGTAACTGAGACTGATTGCAGGTTTGAAAGGAAAACAGAAAATGTTGGAAATGCCCAGCAGGTCAGGCAGCATCTGTAGAGCGAGAGAGTTAACATTTCACATCAATGATATTCTAATAAATGGTCACAGGTCTGAAATGTCAACTCTCTGTGCAAATTCATTGCTTTTGCCCAGAATTAAAATACATGGCCAAGTGGAAGTAACAACTTTATTGGCAGTTAAAGTTCATAAAACACAATGAGCTGAAGCATTTGAGACAGCTGGCTGGTTCACAAGGAAGGTCATCACTGCAATCATCAGTTTATTTCAAACGGTCTGTGACAAGGAGTCTTCAGCTGCTGGTTCCCTTCCCTCTGAGCCTCCCCCTGCTGTACCTGTCCTTTAACAGGCTCACACTGGTACCCAGCTCACAGCTTCAACCAACAGGCTGTCCACACAGAACTGGCAAGACCCAAACTGGGCCAGATGGATTGGATTGAAAGGATGGTGGAAAAATCTGTAAATGAACAATGGGCTACCTTCAAAGAGGGGATGGTGCTGGCACAGTAAAGGTATATTTCCTCAGCAGGGAAAGGGAGGGCAAACAAATCCAGAGCCCCCTCATGACAAAAGAGATGAAAGCTAAGATAAAGAAGAAAAGAGAGTGCTTGCAATGGCGTCTGGTAGAAAATACAATTGGAAACCATGACGAATACAGAAGGTTCAGATGGAGGTGAAGCAGCATACTAAAGAAGCAAACAGGAACTATGGGAAATAAAGCTGGCAACCAACACAAAGGGCAATTCCAAAGTCTTCTCTAGGAGGTCATCCACACTGCCCCTCAGAGCATCCCACCCAGACCCATCCCTATAACTCACCTAATGTACACATCCCTGAACACTACGGACAATTTGGCACAGCCAATCCACCTAACCCGCACATCTTTGGATTGTGGGAGGAAAACAACACATTGCCTCGCATTCACATCGCTGACCTTGTGAGGAATAAAACTAAAATTTCCCATGTCATTGCGTCGTTTTCAACTTACTTCATCTTAGGATCGAAAACGTACAACTTGTAATTCATATCTGTGCCAACATCTTAGCATTTCTCCCAGAATACTGTCTGATGCTTCTAAGTTGTATTGTGTTCTCTTACGTTATTCCTAGCAGGGGATGTGTTTACATTGTGTTTACTGTACAGTACATGTATAGTCCATATCTTGGTTGTTCAGTATGAAACATGGTATGACCCTAAGTTATAGTCCCTATCCCAACTTTATTCCATTGCTTTTCATGGCAGAAGGTGATTTTAACACCTTTACAGTCTCTATTCCCCCATATTTATATTATTCTGATGGGGAAAAATTCCTCAATCGACATAAACCGAATGTATATTGAGGACACCTGTATTTATATAAATATTAAGAGTGGCAGAACGAGGAGTAGGGCTCATTAGGAACCAAAAAGGAGTTTGAAATAACTCAGCAGAGGCCGGTATCCTATCATCAAGTCACCCTTTCTTTGCATGTGGAGAGTCCTTGACGCTGGTCCAGCTTCCTCAGAGCCAGCTCTCAGAGTGAACAGAACCCCTGACCCTCCTGTTTCTGTCTGTCAGCCAGGGCTCCCTGACTGGACCAGGTTAACAGCCCCAGTCGGGGAACTCACACTCTATGAGGCCCATCTGGTTGACCATGTTCCGGTCACTACAGGATTAACACATGGAGGCCAGGGGCACAGCTAACATATCAAATGAATACTTTACACCTGTCTTTACCAAGGATTTAGAAGCTGCATAGGCCATTGTGAGAAAGGAAGAAACTCCTTTATTAAAATGGTGCAAATTGATCAGGGTGGTGAGGAGCGGTTGAATGGACTGTTGGTCCCTAAGTTGACAAGACATTGAATCGAAGGGTATTGAAGGGAGTGAATGTGGAAATTGCAGGGGCATGGACTACTATCTTTCAGATTTCCCTGGGCTTGGGGGAGGAGCTAGAGGACTGAAGATTCGAAGGTATCACAACCTTGTTCAAAAAAAGCTTGTAAGCATAAGAACAGTCAGTTTAACTTCAGTAATTCAATAATTTGGTATCAAATGAGTAGTCACATGGATAAGAGTGGTTGATTAGGAAGAGCCAGCATGGATTTCTAAAGGGGAAATCATGTTAAACTAACTTCTTTGAAGTTTTGCGATTTATGAGGAGGTAATGTAAAGGGTCAATGAGGGTAATGCTGGTGATGTGCTGTAAATAGACTTCCAGAAGCTGTTCAATACAGTGCTATACAGCCAGCTTGTGAAGAAAGTTATAGGTGCAGAAGGCACAGGGACAACATCAATACAAAACTGACTGAGTGACAGGAAACAAAGAATAATAATGAATTAATATGTTTCAGGCTAGAGGAAGCTTTGTTGTGGAGTTCCCCAGGATTCAGTACTGAGACCTCTGTTTTTCCTGATATATATTTATTAATGATGTAGATCTTGGTTTGCAGGGGATATTTTCAAAGTTTGCAGATTACACTAACTGTAGAAGAATTGTAAACTATAAGGAGAACAGTGTGGAACTCCAAAAGGACATTGACAAGTTGGTGGACTGGGTGGCAGATGAGGTTCAATGCAGAGAACTGTGAGGTGGTGCACTTTGATCGGAAGAACATTTCAAGAACAAGACAACATAAAATAGGGGGTACAATTCTAAAAGGGCTGCAGGATTGGAGGGACCTGAGTGTGTATGTACTCAGATCATTGAAAGTGGAGAGAGCAATTAATAAAGCACATGGTGTTTTTGGCCTTATTAATCAAGACATAGAGTACAAGAGCAAGGGGGTGATGTAAAACAAGACACTTGTTAGACCTCAGCTGGAGGTTTGGGTACAGCTGTGGGCGCAACATTATAGGACAGATGTGAACACAATGGAGAAGTTGCAGAAGAGATTTATGAGACTGATTCCAGGGTTGAGAACATTCAGTTATGAGGATAAATTGGAGAGGTTGGGACTGTTCTCTGTTGAGTGAAGAAGGCTAAGAGGAGATCTGGTAAGTTTTCAAAATCAGAAGCGGGCTGGATAGATGGACAGGAAGAAAGAGAGGGCACAGATTTAGCATGATTTGCAAAAGAAGCAAATCTGATGAGAGAAAAAAACTTATCCAAACAATGAGTGGTTTGCATCTGGAATACACTGCCTGGAAATTTGGTGGAGGCAGGTTTCAACTGAGGCATTCAAGAGAGTATTAGATGATTATTTCAATTGGAAACAATGTGCAAGGGTATGGAGAAAAGTCAGGAGAAAGGCACAAAGTTAGGATGCTAATTTGGAGAGGCCAGTACAACCATGAGGCTGAATGGCCTCTTTTCTCTGCTGAAGCACTTCTGTGATTCTGGAAAGGCTCACGTTCTGAGAATCATCTCCCATTTTCATTCGCACTGCCAAAGCAACTGTCATGATTCAGGCAGCTTGCAGGATTTCTGAGTGTCTTTTCCAGCAACAAGCCGTCCCAGCTCACTTCCAACCAGGGTTTCGAACCAGTTTGCCTCCACCCACCTGCCCCTTTGCTTTATTACTTGGTTCCCTTTTTCTCCAAAATTTTTACCAGTACATTGTCATATTCACTTTCCAATGCTCCAGTGCTGTCCTTTTGATGCAATCTCTCTCTTGATTTCTTTTTTGCGAAGGCTTTTGTTGCTGTTTTCGGCACTGCATAATCATCCATGTTTGGGTTGTATGGATACTCATGCCCCTGTGTGTCACAGTCCAAGCCCTGGAGCTTCCATGCATGTCCTTTCACCTCTTCTGGGTTATCATAGATCGAAGGAGTGGCCACCCCTTCAGGCTCATCATAGATGTGGTCCTTGGGCAGGGCCCTGGACGAAGGTGGGTTTGCATTTCCTCGGATGTTGCATTCGTCTATGGTATCGTAAAGAGGGTCCCCACATTCTTCCAGACCTTCAGGGAAAAATGTTGAGAATGTCTTTTCAGGAGCGTTATTGTCCTGTTGGATGGTAGGTATTCCACTCGAAGGTGGGAAGCACAATGTCTTTGCTATAGCATCAAAGGGAATGGCATAATCAGACTCTGGTGCAGGTTGATTCTCTGATTTCTTCCCAGTGTGAGTTTTTGTCACTTTGGCATTCCCACGTGAACTGGACTTCACAACTACATCCCTGACCTCGGAGTAAGTCGACTGGACTTCCAGGAGTTGAGCCATATTCGCTGTGGCTGCAGCTGCCGGGTAACTGTGATGGCCCTTTACTGCCTGTCTCCATGGCATTGTGGAGGATGACTTGGCATCGCAGACTGATTCCAAAGACAGAGACCTCAGGGAAGGAACAGTGGCATTGGATAAGTCAGCTTTCACCTTGGTTGAGTTCTGTCCTTGTTCTTCATCCAAGTCTCGTTGCCATGCCTCCTCTTCAAGCCCATGAGTAGGGATTGGGAGGGGCCTGGAACTTAGAACAGTTTCATTCTCCAGACTGCGAGGCAACTGATAATCCGACTCATTCCTTTGCTTCTGTTGTTGGATAGCGGATGAAATGATGTGGAAAATGTCATTCCCCTGTCTGGTATCGAACTCAAAATTTCCTTCTCCGGACATGCATCGTCTTCCAGCCTCAAAGGAAAATGTTACCTCGAAACACAACAGGCAAACAACATTTTTAATGAAATTTAATCATGTACACTAGCGTAGTGGTTAACTTGCTGGGCTAAGTAATCTCGAGGTCATGGACTAATCATCCATGGAAATTATTTCAACTACTGCCATAGTAACTAGAAATTTAAACTCAATTAGTTAACAAATGCGGAATTAAAAATATAGCTTCACTCATGACGACAAAATAACTCTCAAATGGTCCGAAAGAAAAAACTGACTTGTTCACAAATTCCCTTTAGGAAGGACAAACTGTCATCCTCGCTCTGTTTGTCCTCTGTGTTACTCCAGATTTACCTCATTGTGGTAGATTCCTCACTGGCCTCTGAAATGGCCAAACAAGACCCATTGTTGTATTTATGAGGGCAGCTCACCACCACCTCAAGGACAAGAAACAGTGTGCTTCCCAGCAACACTCATACTCTGTGAATTAATAAATGCACAATGATTGCTGTTACATTCTAGGAATCCTGACAATTTCCAGGCTGAATCAATGATTATTCTACCATTGTCATGTCTCCATTTGATTCCAATTTCCCTAGATTTATTTTCTTTGTTCAAAGCATATGAATGGCAAAGTCAACATTTGTTGCCCATCCATAATTTCCCATGAGCATGGTGTGGTTAACTGCCACCTTGAACTGCTGCGGTCTATGTGGACTGGATACACCCTCAGTCGTCTTTGGAAGGGAGTTAGAGTTACAGAGTCATTGAAGTGTACAACACAGAAAAAGGCCCTTTGGTTCACTGAGCCTGCGCCAGTCATAAACAACCACCCAACTGTTCTAATTCCGTTTTCCAGTACTGAACCCATCATCTTGTGTACCTTGGCACTGCAGGTAAACATCTAAATACTTCTTCAATGTTGCAAGTGCTTCTGCCTCTCCCACCCTTTCAGGCAGTGTGTTCTAAATTCCCACCACTTTCTGGGTGAAAATGTTTCCTCTAAACTTCCTGTCCCTTACCTTAAATCTATGCCCCTGGTCACTATCCCTCTACCAAAGAGAAAGAGGTCTTCCTGTCTGCCTTGTCTATGCCCCTCTTAATTTTATACATCTCAATCATGTCCTCCCTTAATCTCCTCTGTTCTGTTCCAAGGAAAACAATTCTGATCTATCCAATCTCTCTTCATAACTGAAACTCTCCAGGCCAGGCAACATCCTGGAAAATCTCCTCTGCACTCTCTTCCAGTGCTATCACATCTCTCCTATCATGTGGATTCCAGAACTGAACACAATACTCTAGCTGCAGTCTCACCAATTTTTTTTAATATACAGTTCCAGCATCATCTCCCTGTTCTTAAACCCTTTACCTTAGCTCATAAAGGCAAATACCCAAATGCCTTCCTAACAACATTATCCATCTGTCCCGCTACCTTAAGGGACCAGTGGACATACACACCAAGGTCCCTCTGATCCTCAGTGCTTCCCAGGGTCTTACTGTTCATCATGTATTTAAAAGGATTTTAACCTGCAGTGACAGTATAGTTGCAAGTTAGGCTGGTGTGTGGCTTGGAAGGGATCTCGAAATAACTTGTACTTTTCATCCAACTGACTCTTTCCTCAGTAAAATTGATTATACTGTATTGGTTGGTCTTGTTAAGGGAAAAGGCTGGCTAACAGCGCACCAATTTGCATTTGTATAGCACCTTTATCATGCTTCAAAGTTTGGTAACTTACAACAGGAATCCCTCCAAAAACTCAATGCAACTCACATGTACCCAAAAAAAATCATAAGATTCAGAGAGATTTTTTTGGATGATACATGATACCGAGGACAGACCTGCCAAACCAGTGGATGTAAAACAAAATCCCACAGCACTCTTTTGAACAAGAGCAGAAAAATAATCCCTCATGTCCTGAGCTACATTTTCTCAAAACCAAAAACAGTTAAAATAAATGACCTGGTCATTTCTAATTGTGTGTGGGAACCTTGCTGTCTGTCAATTGGATATTGTGTTTTTCTTACATTACAACAGCCTTTCATTGGTTGTGAAGCACTTAGTATATCCTGAGGCTGTGCAAGATACTACGGAAATGCAAGTCTTTTCATTAAAACTCTACATTGAAAGCCATTGATAAAATCTTAACCTGCTCATGGATTCTGAGTTTTTCCTGTGTGCTTTCCTCATGTTGGCTCGTTCGATGCTTACTCAGGGCAGAAATTGTTTTATGACATATGTTAGGTTCATGTTTTAATCACTTTGCAAGTCCGAGGTTTTTTGACTGTGAGAAAGCAAGAGTGAAAGAACAAGTCCCAGAGGACAAACAGCTAAAGAGAGCTGAGGGAGGGACAGTACAACTGTCCCTCCCTTGAATCCAGGTGGTCTAGCTTCCGGTCCTACCTTCCCTGCAGGTATATCTTTACCTGTCTGAACAGGTTGATGAAAGTAAGTATATTAGGGTTGTCCAGTTGATATTGTTTTTGGATACCAAAAGCTGGACAGTTATTTGTTCATGTCTGTTAATTGTATCGTTAAGACACACAGGTAAGGGGTCAAAATCCTGGAACTCCCTCCCTAAAGCCAAAGTGGGTGAATCTGCACCACATGGACTTCAGCATCACACAAAGACAACTCACCACCACCTTGTCCTGGGCAATTTGTGTAAATCTAGCCAGCAACACCCACATCCTCTTCATGAAGAAATAAGATAAAAATGAAAAGAGGTTATGCCTGGCTGACAGATGGACAGGGTCATGATGGAAGTTAATAAAACAGCCTCTCCCAATGTGGTATCAAACTGAACTGTCACTGAGCAGTGCTGCAGCAATGATAGATGTAGAAATGCTCCTGGAGAAAAGGACAACAATGACACTTACAGTCACATACTGGTAATGCTGTTGGATAAATGCCAAGTGAAGATTCCACCCTGACTGCTGGGGAAGTTACATTCAACTAGTTAAAAACATAGGGAATAAAAAGCTTGCGTCACAAATGAGGGTTATAAAACTACCAGATTGTTGCTGGTACATTTGGATGTCTTTCAGGGAAGGAAATCTGTTGCCCTTATCCGGTCTATTTGATTTCTGATTTAAGACCCACAGTAACATGGTTGACTCTTTCTACCTTCTGCAGGAGACCAACAAGGCACTCAGTTATGGCAAGCTGCTAGACAAAGATTATACCCCATGGACTGCAGGTGTTTAAGAACGCAACTCACCACCACCATCTCAAGGGAAATTGGAAAGGGGCAACATGGGCAGGGACGGGTTGCCAACGACGTTGATATCCCACGAAAAAAAATTAAAATACTTTCAAATATCAAAGTAAGCAGCAGCAGACACACTGTCTCTATCAGGAAGCTGCACCCACCAGGGAACAATGAATTAATGTCTAGCAAATGCATGAATATTTTGGGATAATTGTTTTGTTTGCACAATGTCAAATGAGCATTGAAGAATGAGTTAGAATCTGTAATTCAACCAGGAGCTCAGCTGGCATTTATAAAACTCTCAATCTTCTAACATAATTAAAACTGCTCAATTGAATTACAGCCTCGTAATTCAAGTCATGAATTTGTTATTCTGGAGATCAGCTGATTAAGATCTGGGACTGTTGCAATGCTGCTGTATGATGAATTCCAGATCTGTGACTACACCACAGCAAATGAAAACAAGTTCAAGTGTTTACCTTGTCTCGTCCAAAGCGCCTCAAAAACTTGTATGGCCAGGAGTAGTGAACATCTCCACTTTTAAGATCCTTGAGCTCCAATCCATCTTTCTCCACAGTGAGAAGGAACATTCCTTGGAGGCAACATCTGTCTGCAGCTTCTGTCTTCCTCACTGTGACCCTGAAGTCTTTAACTGTAACATAAAGAAATGTAAATCATTTAAGATGGAGACCTGGAAAAACGGAATGCTATTTTGTTCACGCGACAGTGTTCCAGGATGGTGGGTAAAACACATTTACTGTCCTGCCGATGTAGCTATTCAGAGGTGTGACTGTGCTATCAAGTCTAAGATCAGCCACCAGAACTAAAATCAGACTAATCGGTCAGTCACTTCTGGCTTAATATTCAAATCTTGTTGCACCTGTGATTCTATGACCTAATCCAGGCTGAAATTCTCATCGCAGTGCAGAGGAAATGCTGTTATGTCTGTTATAATAACTTTCTGTGCCTCAGTTGAGAGGTTACAGTGAGATAACCCAGTCAGTCAGCCCAGTCAATTAGGCAAAAACATACCACAGTCATCATGTTAACGAAGAGCAAGGGGCCAGCCCCAGTGCATATTGTCCCTCCAGAAACACTTAAACAGCAATGGAACAAATGGCTCATTTTGAGGGAGTTTGATGTGCATAAATTGATTGCCATGTTTTCCATCTCATAACAGTAGGTACAGTTTAAATGTACTTCACCTTCTGGAAAGAATCTGGGCTGTTCAGAGGTTGTGAAAGGTGCTATAAAAGCGCAACTTCTCTTTTTTAATTCAAAGTACATGCATGCATCTTGAGTGATGTAGATGTAACAATGTCTATTTTTCTTTTATGAGAAGCCACTTGTAATGAAGTCACTAAAAACTAAAACATTTCACAGCAAGGGTATTGTCATGGAGGATCTTTCACAGGTTCTTGTACCAGAAATAAATTCCCTGAAATGAAATCAGTTAAGATGAAATATCATCAGTTGAAATGAACCTGAAATAACTAAAGGGTAAACTTTTGAAATAAAAACAGAAAGTGTAAGAAATGCTCAGCAATTTTGGCAATTTTTGAGACAATGAAACAGTGTTAATGTTTTGGCTCAGTGACCCTTCATCTGAAGGTTGAAATTTTTTCTTTCAGTATAGAATTTATTGCCACTTCTCCAGGAATGCATACCTGGAAGAGGTTCTGCTTTTCACTCCAACAGGATTTCTGTTTGTCTCTTTTACCTTGTTCACCTTCATCGTTTTCTCATTTCACGTTTTGTGTTTGCTTAGAGGTCTGCTCATCCAAGGTCATGGACATGAATTCTGTTTCTCTGTCCAGAAGTGCTGCCAGAAAGGCCAAGCATTTCCAGTATTTTCTTGTTTTAATGCAGATTCCCAGTCACTGCAGTGCATTCAGCTTTTGCAATAAACTGCTGACCCAGGTTCACAGTCTGTATGGAGATTCAGTGAGTGAAATGCATGTTCCAAGGTAAGTTTCTTGGGCAGTCCAGTGAGGGAGTGCAGTGCTCATGGGGCTGATAATGGGAAAACCAAAGACAAACATGACCATGAAAATTAAATGGAAATGTGAAATTGTTGGTCCCAGGCTGAAATGAAATGTGTTAAAATAAAAAGACAAAATAAAATCCCCTCTCATTGTTGTAAACTCTGCTCCTTGTGGTCACAACTCTTATTGGGGGCGTGGAATTACTGAATCTCAAGTGAAGTGGTAATGTGGTGACTTTATTAAAAGCTGCAGGAGGAACATGTTTTCAAAATTTGTCACAAAATGTGAATGTCAATGTTTGTTGCCGACCCCTAACTGCCCTTGAACTAAAGGCCTGAGAGCATTTCATAGACGAGTGAAGAGTCAACCACATGACTGTGGCCTGAGTCACAGTAAGGCCAGACCAGTTCATGTTAGCAGACATCCAAATGGTAACATGTTGGCTATCTTTCCTTTTGCAGTGGGAAATGTACATATCTTGTCTTGCCTGCACTTTATTTTACTGTCTGACAGTTGGTTTGCGGTCGATTCTTGGCTCCTGTCTGACTTTTAACAATGCAGAACACAGTAATTACAATTCAGACAGCAAAAAACAGAAAGAAGCTGAATAAATCTTCCAACACTTTGAAGATAGAAATTCAACACGTTTTTCTCAATGTGTGACTATGTTCTACGAGCAAACTGAGACATAGTTATAATTGTCCATTTTCCATTCACGAACATCGATCATAACTTGCTGTAACCTCAACTTGTGTTGGTTGTGAAAATGAACTGTGCTGAGAGTGTATATAGCTGTGGGCTTGTTACCAGATCATCAGCTTAAATGTTCACAAGCTGTAGCTCCAACTCCAATGTTTGTTCTCCTTAGTCCTTCAGCATGTTGTTGCCTCCCAAAGCCGTGCTCATCCTGCCCTCAAATCAGGTTTCTGTCCTTCTAACAGCATTAAAATGCATTTCCACAAATGCACAGCATTTCCAACTTGTCTGCAGCCTTTCCCATGGTTGATCAAATCATCTACTTCAAACACCTCTCCACTATCTTCCACTGGATGGGACTGCTCTTACTCGGTATCATCTATTTCCTGGAGTTCTTTGAAGAAGTAGTGTACTGTGGAGAAAAGGAAATTGGTAGATGTACTTTACTAGCATGTCCAGAAGGCATTTCTTGAGACAGGGAAGGCCATTCTAAAGTCATGGGATTGGGACTCAATAGAATCCTAGACTTCATGTGAGTGGGAATTGCAGCTCATTCAGAGAATGATATGAGACAGTAGGGCTAATATTTGGTGTTGAGTATGGCAATAAGCGGCAAACTGTGCTCCAAATGACCTGACAGTGCATGGTGTTGCCACCAGGCAAGGACAAATTCAAAATCATGAGCAGGCTTGACAGACGAGATGGGTAGAAACTGTTCCCAGCAGTGGACAATCCAGAACAGGAAGTCACAGATTAAAGATCATTACCGAAAGAAGCAAGGCTGACCTAAGGAAAACCTTTATGGTGCAGCAAGTGATTAAGATCTGAAATACATTACCTAAGGTCCAGTCAAGGCATCTAAAAAGGCGTTGGATTATTACCTGACAATGAAGAATGTGCTGGGCTATGGGGAGAAGGCAGGGGGACAGGACTGGGTAAAATACTCTTTCAGAGAGCCAGAACAGGCACAAAAGGTTGAATGGCCTGTTTTTTTGTGATGTCACCTTTTTGTGATTCTTTTCCTGTTACTGGAATGTTGATTATTGCTGTGTCTATTAACCATTTCTGAAACTGGCTTTCCCTATGTTGCAGACTGCAGTGATAGGTCAGACACACAGTGATCTACGGTTTCAATTCCCATGTTATCCAACCTCATTTGTAATGATTTCTGTCAGTTCATGTGTGGTGAAGGTTCACAATACACTATTATTATTTGATAGTTTGGGCTCTGACCTGGGGGAATGATGTACAGCATTATGGGTCATTTGTGTTATTAAATGTGTTAAAAAGTGGGAGCTCGTGATTTTCAGTTTCATTTTAGATTTGTTCTCAGCGGCACCAGGGTTTCTGGAGACTTTGTTCATGTGCATTTCAACATGTATTTAAAACATTAAAACATAGTGCATCAGTAAATAGGGTAGATAAGAAAGAAAACACTGTTGTGAAGTCAAAAGATCCCTAGTACAAAGTCAGAATCATTCTGAAGCAATCAGGCAGTATGCAGATACATTCAGAGGGAATAAAGCTGAAACAGTAGAAATGCTGTTATTTTAACACTCCCCAAAGCAGTCAAGGCAGAATATAAAAAAGCCTTGAGTGTCTTTGCAGAAAGCCAGAAACAAAAGATTGTTAAAGACATAAGTTTGATGAATCCATGTTAAATAAGTGAGTAGCATAAGAAGTTTGTTTGAGAGTTGCAGGAGGAGACATTAATTAAAAAGAAATTATCAAGTGAGTGTAACTCACCAGAAAAAAAGACGAAAACAGGCATGCCAACTGAATGAGGAGCTTTAAAGTGGAGACAAGGGTGATCCTTCACTGAAATCTGAATATCCGCAAGGTTGGTAAAAAGGGTAATAGGGCTGAATCTTAATTTCTGATACTTATTTGTCTGTGTTTGTTTCAGATAGTTTGGATACCTTGTCTTTTTCATTTTGGATCATAAATATTGTTTCGTTAAAACTAGATTGTTGGCCTCTTGTGAAAATGTTTATGACTGACAACCATAGTAACCAAAAAGAAAAATAAAGTTTATGGTTTATCAATTCAGGTCTCACTCTAAGATCTGAGTATAAGCATCAGCTGAGATAAAATCGCATGTCAGATACATGGCTACATAAAATGAGAGTCAATATAAATGAGATCTTTCATGGTGGGTTGGGGATCTGGAATGTGTTCTCTGTTCTCCAGATATAACTTAGGATCAAGGGCTGTCTCTGATGTACATTCCTCACTAAACTCAAATTTGCCTTGTTTTACTCAGCCTTTAACTTGACAACAATGGAGATTTCTGTCACTGGATTTTTGTTTGGATTGTGTAGTCATCTGAAAGTTAAATGTTCTGCTGATCCGTGCAGCAGAATAACACAACTGTCATTCAGAATTATCATTGCATGGAGTAGGGCAGGTTAAAATGATCTGCAGTGGTAATTTGAAGTGATTGATTTTCAAACAAAGTGACATCAGGATGTGGTTCAGAGGGAACCACATGATGTTAGATTGGAGTCACATGAGGATCAATTTGGATTGGGGCAACAGGTTACTTTCCCTGAAGGGTATTGGTGAATCAGTTGGGTTTTCAAACAATCTGGCTGCTTTCATTGTCTTTTTATGACAATGCCCTAATCACAGGGTGATTGAAGATGGCTGCCAAGGGTCCATTCAGCATACTGCTCATCATCCTGGACTGTCCCTCTGAAGATGAATTGACCAAACTGGTGATCAGAAAATGCTGTTGACGACTCTCCCACATTCCATCTTGACCATTTTGTCCTATTTCCCTCATATGGAGGCTTGAATGGCCAGTTCCTCACAATGGTTGATCGATAAATCCTCCATCAGAAACCATAATTTGTTGTTTAAAGCAACGCAGGCAATCAGTAAGTTAATGGTGGGCTAGTGTGAGTAGCCCCAGAAAGCACCACCTCAGAAAGCATTGCAGTACAGAATGTCAGACTGGAAGATGAATCCA